CAGCAACTCATCATACTGTTGTTGTGTTCGGGGCATTTGATGATTGAGTGGCTGTAAGAGTTGCATGGCTCGCTGGTTGCCGACGCCTAAGGCGCGGAACAGGATCGTGGTTAGTAGTTGGAAGTTGGGAAGGTCAAATCCCGCCGACTGTGCCTCAAGTCGGGCCATTTCGAATCGGGTAAGGGTGACATCGATTCGTTCCCCGTGAGGCACATGAAAGTCGATGAGCTGTGTGCCGGAAGTGAGCTGGCGCTCATCTTCCAAGCGTTCGAACTTCATGCTTAGGAGGAACATGATGTAGGTCACTGGGTCGGTGTGGACCCCATCGATGTCAGCACCATAGTTTTGTAATGTCAGGTGGAACCCTCATGGCGAGTGTCCTCGCTAGGCCACCCAGGCCGCGTTGTATGGCGGCCGCTTGGGCCTGTGGCGTCATACGTCCACTTGTGACGTTGAGCCATGCGTTGGCCTCATAAACGTACTCGCGGAAAGGTACGTTGCCTTGAGGGTCCCAGTATGGGCCATGTGTTTGCCCATCGGTGCTGTTCTCTCCACGACGCATGTGTCCGATTGCTGCCCCCAGCGCGAACCATATGATGGCGAAAATAACCAGCCCAAGGCTGTGAAGATAGGGGTGGTGATTAGGCGCGTTGCCGCGCTGGGGTAGCGCCTTGTCAAGTCTTCGAGGCGCTCTATCTGGCGGATCTCTCCGCCCATGCTTCAAGTACTGCGTTTTTGGCTCGTTGCCGAGCGGTTGGTAGTAGCGCAATGATGAAGCGTATATGGTACCAATGTTGTTGTCTAGACGTCGTACCTCTCGTGTTGCCTCTTGCTCTTGGATAGATCCTCGTAAACGTACTGGGAGTGGTGGCGCAGGGTGGTAGGTGGTCACGAAGATCGTGCCGAATAGTACGAGGATGAGAAGAGCAATAGCGGACCACACGAGAGTGCGTCCAGCTCCGCTACCAAGTCGAAAGTGAGCCTGGTAGGTCACATTGCATCCAATTCCATGTCGAAGGAAAACGATATGGGGTGTGGATGGGTAAGATAGGAAAAGATCGATGTATCGGTCTTTCCAGCACATAGCGAATACCAAGTCAGGTATCCGGGCAAATAGGGCGCGCGTGCTTTGAGCCAAAGGCAACGGCGCGCGAGCTATACTCCCGATTCTATATAACATCTCCCAAAGGGCTACCCTTAAAATCACACAAACACACACAAACACACACACACACAAACACACACACACACACGCACGCACGCACACACACACACAACAACAACAACAACAACAACAACAACAACAACAACAACAACAACAACAACAACAACCACCACCACCACCACCACCACCACCACCACAACAACAACAACAACAACAACAACAAACACGCACACACAGACACACACACACACAGAAACACACGCACACACACACACACACACACACACACACACGCACACATACTCACAAACACACACACACACACACACACGCACGCACACGCACGCACACACACACACAACAAAAAACAAAAAACACGCACACACAGACACACACACAGAAACACACGCACACACACACGCACACACACACACACACACACACACACACGCACACATACTCACAAACACACACACACACACACACACACGCACGCACACACACACACAAACACACATTCAAACACACACACACACACACGCACGCACACACACAAACACACACACAAACACGCACACGTGGCGTGGCGTGGCGTGGCGTGGTGCACGGAACGCGAATTGGGCCACAATGCAAGGGGACGGGGGACAGGCGCCCAGCGACGGCGGGGGGCAGGGGGAGAAGCTGGGCCCGCTCACCGCAGGCCAGGCGCGGGGCAGGGAATACACTCTCTCTTTGAGCACGCCAGCGGACCTCTTGGCGCACCAGACAAGGCGTCGGCTGGCTGGAAGCGCACCCCTGGACCACTGGACGCAATAATTCACCTGCTGCTTCGGCGGCACAACAAACGGGTCTTACGCGAGATCGTATAGCGACCTTACGCGGTGGCTTGCGCGGGCCGCCAGCGCGGCACGCCACACTGAAGACGAGGACGCTTGTGCGCGACCTTACGCGGAGGAGCATCGTGAGCCCCCCTCCGAGGGTCTTAGGCCGTCCTTGGAGTCCTCTTGGAGCGATTTGGGCCCGCAGTGGGCCTCTCCTTGAGCTCTGTTGGGCGATCTTGGAGATAGCTGGAGGCTCCCAAGACCACATCGGCACCGAGAAGGCGAGAGAGCCACAAACATTGCAAACACACACACACACACGCAAAGTCTTTTCGACTATATGAAGCCCGCGGGGACGTCCTTGGGAAGCCTCAGGGCGACTTCAAATCCATCGGGACGACTTCAATGAATGTCGCTCCCTTGGGAGCTTCGTGGAGGCCTCGTGTGGCCGCCATGGAGGCTTATTCGGCCTCTTGGGAGCCCTTCGGAGGCCTCTTGAGGCTGCCTGGGCGCCTCTCGGGGCCGAGGGCTCCGAATGTTGGTTCGGAGCACCCGTCTGGACCCCTTTTGAAGCCGCCTTGGGAGACTCTCGGGGCTCCTTGGGGCCCTCTTGGGGCCTCTCGGGCAGTCTTGGGCTGTTCTTGGAAGCCTATCGGGCCGGCTTGGAGCATCCGAAGTCCTTCAAAACACTAGACACATCATGTCATCTTGCCTCTTTGGGCCCTCTCGGGAGGCCTCGTGGAGGCTTCTTGAAGCGTCGTGGATTTCTCTGAGGCTGTTTGGGTGCATCCTTCGAATCCGTGGGGAAGATCAATTCATTTTAGCTCTTGGGGTGACTGGGGAACGCTCGTCGAAGTCTATCGGGGCGTCCTGGAGGTCTCTGGGACCACCGTCATTGGGGGCCTTTGGGGCTGCCTTGGAGGCCTCTGGGGCCCTCCTGGGGACTCTTGAGGTGGGTCGGGGCGCTCTTGGGGGGCCTCTGGGCAATGTTGGGGCGATCTTTGGGGCTTCTTGGGGCGCCATGAAGCGTAGGAAAGCCGTAAAGGCGAGAGCGCCAACATGTTTCCAAGCAGTCACAAATCTATGAATTTGGCTCTGTGGGGGGACTCGTGGAGGCCCCGTGGGGGCCTCTTGGAGGTGTTGTGGGGGTATCTTGGAAGCCTCTTCGCGCCTCTTGGGGGCTTCTTGGGGGGCCTCTCGGGGCTGCCTGGGCACCTCTCTCGGGCCCTCTTGGAGCCTCTTGGGCAGTAGTGGGGCATCCTTGGAGGCGTCTCGGGCCGCCTTGGAGCGCTGGGAAGCCGAAAAGGCTAGAAAACCCAAATCCTTCAGAACCATGGATCACTGACTGAATCCTGCATCTTGGTCATTGTGCCTCTTGAGGCCCTCTCGGGAGGGCCTCGTGGAGGCCTCCTGGGGCGTCTTGGAAGCCTCTTGGACAATCCGAAGCCAACTCCCAGCAATCTGGAGCCGTCATGGGCCGTTTTGGTGGTCCCGAAACTGGCCACCGCTCGGACGTCCATTCCCTGTGTTTTTTTGGTTTCGTGCGTGGTTTTGCGCAGGATGATCCAGGATGCTCCTTGATAATCCCCGCCGAGAAAAAATGCACACGTCCGAGCGATACCAAGAAACAACTTTCTCAGGCGATCCGGGGCCGCCTTCGGGCGATCAGGGAAGGCCTCTGGCGCGCAAACAAGGCCCCAGGCATACCGGTCCACAGATTTGTCGTCGAGGTCCAGGCCTCGGGCCCCCAGACCCTCCCCCGTTGTGTGTGTTACGAAAATAGATACGTGTGTGTGAATATGTGTATATGTGAGTATGTGTAGATAATTTGTGCATTCGCGTATATATATATAAATATATATATATACATATATATATATACACACGTAGAGAAAGAGAGAGAGAGAGAGAGAGACAGACGTGCACATATAATACCACATATGATAATGATGTGCATCTGAATGTACACACACGCCAGATGCGCAACAGAGAAATTCCCGCCCCCACCCCCATGCCCACACAATCAACAACAGACGAACACTCCGCGCGCGCGAACGCCCCTCTAACACACACACACACAAGCACGTGCACACAGTACAGAACACACACACACACACAACACGCACGCACGCACGCACGCGCGCGCACACACATACACACATAAGCACGCACTCGCTCTTTCCATGGACGAGCGACCCTCGTCGCCACAGCCAGGGAGGCGACACGCTGCATTGCCATAGCGGGTGAGGGGCACAGGCGCCTGGACATCGTCAACACTCTGGAGCCGAGAATGCCATCGGGACGAGTGCGCGTACACACGGGCATGGACCATCTTGTCCTGGGCCATGCACGCGCCAGCTAATACATACACTCACACACGAAAATATCCACGCACGCACACACACACAGGCACAAGCACACACACACACACACACACACGCACACACCCACACACACTTCAAACGTCGGCGGCGCAGAGGGTCCTCAAGCGCGGGCAGCAGACGGAAGTGCTAATTGGGATCGAGCATTATCGAAGGCCCCGTGTACGAAACGTAGCGCGCTGTAAAGTGCAATCGATAGGTGGTGTGCAAGAGGGACTATATTAATCCGAACTGTAGACATGCATCGGCCAGACAACTGAGGAGACTCATCTCAAAGTGATCTGAAGCGCAGCACACACAAACGCAAACACGCACACACGCACGCACACAAACACACACACACACACGCACGCACACGTCGCCTCTTCGTGACATGCACGCGCAATTCGGCAGTAGACACACACACACACACACGCGCACGTCGCCTCTCTGCGATATGCACGCGCACCACTCCTGATTCGTTAACTACTCCAAAATGCTTGCTCGCAATATCACATTGAGCATTATGGTCCAGCAAATGACTGCGCCATGAATGTGATCGTGAGTAGGGCCCCGCAAAGTCGTAGCCGTCGGCTGGGCGGAAGCATCGCAGCCACCAGGCATTCCATAGAGAAAGAACATCAAACTTGGCACCTGCTGAAGGTCACACCCCTTGTTGAACTGCTTGAATGGAGCCTCGGGCGTAACAGTCGCTCAAGGCGGTTGTCAACAAGCGTGGAGCATTCACCACCTCTCATACGAGGCGCACTCACAACGTAAAAATCTACAGCGCCTTCCGCCAAGCACGATCCAAGCGCGGCACAACACTCACATCGGAATAACGTGAGGGCATTGTTGTGCAAAGTAGCAGAACACTGGTTAGAGAAGGGTCAGGGGAGGGTGTGAGCTAGGATGAACCCCGCGGACAAACAACTAATCCACGCTTTGCGAGGGCTACCCGTCGTGCGATAGGGCGTGGCAATGAGCAGTACCGCCCAGCCCGACCAGAGAGCCCAGAACAGAACCAGCTCGGGGCCGCTACTCCTCGAGAGCAGCGCCGCGCACAACGAACAACGGGGCGAGAGCGGCGACGCGTGCATCAGTTATCCAGATCACCCACCTTCGTTCCCCGCGCCTCGCAAACTTTGGACGCCCGAAATGGGCACAGAAAACATGGGTACAATGCCCAACAACAAATGTTGTCCCAAACCAACAGCGGCCGCTGTTGGGCAGGCGGCCTTCTGTCTCAGATGTACACAAGCAGCGGCGGCGCGGACAGCGAGTCCTGTTCAAATGAACAGGAACTGCTGTTGGGCATTGTACCCATTCTTTACGTACCCATTTCGTTCGTGCAGACGAACGGCGAATCCTCGAGCCCTCGCGCCGCCCGCCCCCTTGAAACGGACAGCTCTCCAGACAAGACCGCAAGGCGAGCGGCGACCTTCTCCGCCCGCGCCCCCACGGGCGACCCACATCGCACGCCGCACGCCGGTCAGAGAAACGACTGCATTTGACGCCGAGAGGCGCTCGGACCAGCGAGAGCAGGGAGCACGATGGCTCTCGGCCCTCCTGGGCGTCGACCCTGGGCGAAATCAGCTGGCTGACCTCGGCCAGGCTGGCTTCGGCCAGAGCGACTTCGGCCCAGGCCGAGTTCGGCCTGGCCGAGTTCAGCTGGCCGAGTTCGGCCTCACCCAATTTCGCCTGGCCGGGTCTTTCCCTTGTCGCGGGGGGGGTCTTAATACCCGTGTTCCCCGCGGTCTTCCCGAGCCTCCCAAGGCTTCTGGGAGCTTCCTGGCCTCCCAGGCCCAGGCCTCCTCCTCCTCCTCCCAAGGCCCCCCGAGGGTGACGGGGAGATACGCTGGAGGTAAGGCGTGGCCAAGGGGGCCCTTCTGAGGGCCGGATCCCTGTGGCCTCCCGGAGCCCCCCCGAAGGATTGGAGCTCTGGTCTGGGCCTCCCAGAGGCCGCCCAGGGGGGCTGTGCGAGGCCGAAAAAATGTGTCCACCACCACAGCCTTGGGGAGTCGATCTGGAGGGACCTCGTCAAGCAGTGGATATGGAGTTGGATATGGATGCGCATGTGAATGGAAACCAGCATGCAGACGCACTCGATGTACATATATTGAAATGCATATACCTACATGCATACATAAGTGTATGCATACCTCCATACATGTCCCCATGCATACCTCCTTACATACCTCTATGCATACATACACACACCTACATACATACATACATACATACATACATGCATGCATGCATACATACATACATACATACATACATACATACATACATACATACATACATACATACACATACATACATACATACATACATACATAAATACACATACATACACATACATACATACATACATACATACATACACACACATACATACATACATACATACATACATACATGCATACACACACATACATACATACATACATACATACATACATACATACATACATGCACATACATACATACATACATACATACATACATGCATGCATGCATGCATGCATGCATACATCCATACATACATGCATTATTGCATGCGTACATACAAGCATACATTTAGATATACCTACATGCATACATGCATGCATGCATACATACATACAGACGTACATGCATGCATGCAGGCATGCATACATACATAAAGACATACACACGTACATACATACACTCACGCATACACGCATACATGCATGCACACATGCATACATACATACACACATCATTTCTCAACGGCATTCACGAGTGCGTACACACATGTATGTGTACATACATGTATGTATGCATACATACATGCACATATACACATACATCCAAACACACGTGCATCAATACATGCACACATGCCCATACACATACATACACACCTACCTACCTACATACAGACGTGCATACATGCATACATGCAAGCATAAGCACATGCATGTATGTATGCATGCGTAGTTATAAATGCAGCTGTATACATATATATATATATATATATATATATATATATATATGTATGTGTATGTACTAGAACGACGCGCGCGCTTCGCGCGCGCTTCTGTCCTAGCCTTTCCCAACACGATCTAAATTGCCAACGAATGGAAATATCGACGGTCACTGAGACAAGGTCCGCATAGCGTCCCCCGCCCATCGCAGCACACCCCGCGCACGGATCGTTGCCTATGGGAAGCTCCGCAGACGGTCCAAGAGACGAGGTTCGCATAGCGTCTGGCCACCGAGTTCTCAGTTCGGCACGCCCTTCGTACGGATGGATGGTGCATCACAGGGAGTTCCACATACGGCTCCAAATACAGGATTCGCAGCCTGCCCCCCCCAACCTGCTTCTGCACACCCCTCACACGAATCGTGGCCCACAGGGACTTACACCCACGGCCCCAAAGAAAAAGTTCGCATGGCGTCCCCCCGCCTACGTCGGCGCATCCCGCTCCCCTGGCTACTACGGCACACCCTTAACACGCATCGTAGCCCACAGGGAGTGCCACCTACAGCCCAAGAGACAAGCTTCGAATAGCGTCCCCCTGGCCATGTTGGCCTTAGAGACAGGCTTCGCCTACCTGGATCACGCCACCCGGCGCTGGCAAGTCGACGCCGCCTGACGCCAATGTGTTTGACTCGAGCCCGCTCGGCTGGGACGCACATCGACGAACTTGAACTGTTTATACATTCACGGATTCTGCAACGCTCCCACACTCCGTGGGCGTGGAGCCCGGACAACGGACAAAATGACGATGCGGATGGGATGAAAGCGGAGGGATAGGGAGGAAGCCGAGGAATGAGGTTGAGGAATGAGGAGGCTGTGGAATGATGAGGTTGGAGAACGAAGAGTAAACTGAGGAATGCGAAGGAGGCTGAGGAATCAGGAGGAGACAGAGGAATGAGGAGGCTGAGGAATGAGTGGGAAGCTGAGGACTGTAGGACTCACTACAGAAACTCACGAGCGACGACAACGACGCAGAGTTCCCACAAGATGCCCCCCAAAAGCCTCCAAGAACCCCCCGAGAAACATCCAAGAGCAAAGGTTATGGCCACACTCAGCCACAACATCGCGGCGTCGCATCCCAGACTACCCCAAGCGTAGTCGACCGATGCATTCGGGAGAGCTCGGCAAAACCATCCTGGATTCGTTCTGATACTGCACCAGCACGGTGGCGGGGATTGCCGCAGGCAGCTGAACAGATGGATGGTCACGCGAGGCATGCTACAGCGACCGAAAACTCGGAGGGAACCTGGCATTTCAGGACACTTTCCCCCGTTTTCAAGAAAGACGTCTTCTTCGCACGTGCATCCGGAAAGTTGATTGCGCCTCAGCGGTCGTGCGACACATCGCGGAGCGTGGGTGCGAAGCACCCACACCCGAAGCAAAGCACCATGGACTCAACAATTCCTGTCAGCGTGCGTACAGCTGATGATCATCATGATGAGGATGAGGACGGCGACGATGAAGACTATGGGATGTTTTCTTTTGCACGGGGCGACTTTTTCAGGGCTAGGCGTGTCGCGGCCGAGTCTATGCAACAATAAAAACAAAGAAGGGGTGTGCCCATCCATGAATTTGTCTCAGCACCCGCGGTGAGGGGCGTCACTCCATCCGGGCGCCGGCGACAGGACACACCCCTGAAAAATGGCAGCGGCGAGGCAGAGGGGAGAGGGAGAGGGACCTGGGAGGAACCAGAAGACGGAGGCGGCGGGGCCGCGGCCGTGTGGTGTGCGCCACCCAACCACACCATTAGGCGCCGCGCACCACCGCCAGAAGCAAGGAACAGGAGAGGAGAGGGGAAGGAGGGAGAGAAGCGAGGGTAAGTAAAGGCACAGGGGCGGCTCTGGCAGCCAGAACGACTACGGAGGAGCGAGGGCAAAGAGAAACAGGACGCGGCGGAGGAGGAGGGAAAGGGAAGGGGGAGGGCAGCTTGAGCAACAGATGGCGGCGCACCAGGCCGACTCGGCGGCGTTCAGGGTCTGCAGCAGACCGGCAGCCCGCAGGCCAGCAGGCAGTCGGGGCGCGGCCACGTCACGGCTGGCGGGGCGGCGATCGGGGCTCAGCGCCCGCCTCGCAAAACTTTTCAAGCCCGAGCGCACGAGCGTCAGAGCAGACAACTCCTCCTTCTCCTCCTCCTCCTCCTCCTCCTCCTCCTCCTGCTCCCACCTCATGATTGTCCTGATCCCTCACATCTTCCTTGTCCTCCTCCCACCCCTCCTCCCCATCCTCCTCGCCCTCTTGCAGAATTTACCCAAAAATGAATCGGAACGCGTTCCATGTAACTCCTCCTCCTTCTGCTCGCCCTCCTCCCGTTTGCTCCTCCTCCTCTTCTTCATCTTTATCCTCCTCCCTCATACTCTTCCTCCCTTTTCCTTTCTTCTTCAAAAGGGTCGCGAAAGCATATATAGGCTCCCCTTCCTCTTCCACTGCAGATTGCCACACTTCCCTGATCAAAGCAACCAGCCCCGAGATGGTTTCAGGATGGGCTGGTTGGACTACTGGAAGCGTCCAGAACAAAAATGATTCGTCATTGGGGCACGCGAAACGCTGATACGTACATACGTCCGAACGCACTGGGAGCACGCTCCTGGGCAGGCGGAGCCAAGGAGGGGACAAGGGAAGGGCCGCGGAATCGCTGCGTCGCCCAGCCCTGTTAGCAGCTGGACGCACATAACCAGACAGCATCAGAACGCACTCGGTGCATACTCCTCGTCAGGCGGACGGAGTGGGATGACGAAACGGCGGCGGATCCATGGGAGCTACACTCGGGTGCAGGGGGCAATCATGGGGGCCCTTCGAACTGTTCAGGGCTAGTGTGGGTGCACTTTTAGTATGACATGGGCCGGCTGGGAGTGTACGGGTCTCTTGAATGTCTTGCCAGAGTGTCTGAGTGCTGTAATCATTGGGGCTCGCTGATGCTGTCACTTGTGTTGCATATGGGTTGGGTATCTAATTTTTTGAATGGGACAGTGGGGGGCCATCATATAGCCCCAAATTGCAGGCCCACCATCCCTGTCATGAGCGAGGCGCGACCTCCATTCTTGGGGTCAACATCTTAGGTCACTTGCATTGCTTGGCATTGGTTGGCGTTGCTTGGCATTATTTGGCATTGCTTTGCATTGCTCGGCGTTGCTCAGCAGGGACCCCGAGGAACCATAAGGAAGCCAAGCGAGGAATCCAAGCAATGAGCTCGAGGAGCCCGAGCGAGGACCACCGAGGAACCTGGGGAACGCCGATAGGAAACCAAGGCCAAAGAACCTGGGGGCGCCAGGCGACAACTCGTGACGACGGCCCCGAAAAAACAATCCAGAGTGCACGCTGCGGCAACACCTCGATCGTGTTCGGGCGCCCCGAGATCATCGTCTGTTGTTTTTGACAGGGGCGGCGGGGGGGGCCATCACATCTGTGAGAAACGAATGCCAAGTATTGGACCGTGCGCGGGCGCCCCGCAGTCATGTTGAATTGGTCGTAGCGAGGATGATTTGAGGGTACCCGCATGTTGCATGGCGTGTGCAGGCCCACTGCCCCTGCCAAAAACCAAAGCGACGTGGCTGCGGGTGCGCGCGCACGATGCGCCGTGCTGACCACCCCGCCGCCGCTTCGCAGCGGCGTTTAACAAGGATCGTACAGTCGGGGCCTTGACCTAAGGAACCCAAAATAAGGAACGAGGCCCCTTTTCTCCCATGAGTTGAACTTCGATCTCCCATGGGAAACCTCAGAAAAACAGAAGGCAAACTGCAGAACAATCAAGGAACACCGAGCCCCTCCCCAACGAAAAGGGTTCCTTCGTCAGGGCCCCGACTGTATGGGGTCAACATGTTCCTTGATGCCTGCGGTCACGTGTGCCGGCGCACCTGGCACACTCTGCGCGCGCCGTGCACGTGGCGCACCCGGCGCGTGCGGGTGCGCGTGGCACGCTCGGCGAAGATGTGCCCGCAACGCATCTGGCACCCTGGGCGCGCCTGGCGCGCTTGGGCTTCTGGGGCGCCTGGCGCGCCTGGTGCGAGAGGTGCGCCTGGCACGCGCGGCGCACCTCGCGAGCGTCGCACACATGGCGTCTGTTGTGGTCCCCAGTGGCTGCCCATCCCATGGCGACCCTTGCCAATGCTGAAATTCTTTACGCTTCGCGTATCCCCACCAGCCCATCTCAAAACAGCAACTCTTGCGAAGCATACCGACAGTCGTGTTGTTCAGGCGTGTTTCCGCCTGCCCCCGCATATCTCCGGGCCTCTCGTCCTGGTGTGAGTCGTTCGGGCCCTTCTTCCTGGTGTGAGTCGTTCGGGCTCTTCGTCGTGGTTTGAGTCGTTCGGGCTCTTCGTCCTGGCGTGAGTCGTTCGGCTTCTCGTGATGTGAGTTGTTCGGGCCCTTCGTCCTGGTGTGAGTCGTTCGGGCTCCTCCTCCTGGTGTGAGTCGTTCGGGCTCCTCGTGGTGTGAGTCGTTCGGGGCCCTCGTCCTGGTGTGAGTCGTTCGGGCTCCTCGTGGTGTGAGTCGTTCGGGCGCCTCGTCCTGGTGTGAGTCGTTCGGGCTCCTCGTGGGGCCTCTTGGGGGCCTCTTGGAGCCTCGTGGGGCCTCTTGGGGGCCTCTTGGGGGCCTCTTGGGGGCCTCTTGGGGGCCTCTTGGGGCCTCTTGGGGCCTCTTGGGGGCCTCTTGGGGGCCTCTTGGGGGCCTCTTGGGGCCGCTTGGGGGCCTCTTGGGGGCCTCGTGGAGGCCTCTTGGGAGCCTCCTGGGGGCCTCTTGGGGCCATCTTGGGGCCTCTTGCGACCTCCTCAGAAGCGCAAATGAGAGCTGCCCCCTGAGAAGGACAAATGAGCCGAAAACCTTTGTAAAATCAATGATTTTGCTGTGAAGGAAGATGAGCGCGGCCCCCTCAGGACGCCAAAATGGGGCCAAAACCGTAGTACAATCAATGATTCTGGCTTTAAAGAAGAGGAGGGGGGCCAAACGGTGCCCCCCCGTCGGGGCCAGAATCCTCGTGAGGGTCGTCGTTTTTTAGCCCTCCCAGGAGTCGAAAAAGACCCCTCCAACGACCCGCGGGGCGCCCTCTCCAGGCCCAGGGGGAGGGGGTAGGGGGAGGGGTAAACCCCTCCCCGAAGGGGAAGAAGGGGGGTTGAGAACAGAGCGGGCTCCCTAAACCACTCACGCCCAAAGGGCTGGTGGGACTCGGCTTTTAGTCATGTTGTGGGAGGGCGGAACGCGAGGGCTTACGGCCGCCCTTCGGGTTTGATCACTGCTCCTTATCAATCCCACCAGCCCTTTGGGCGTGAGTGGTTTAGGGAGCCCGCTCTGTTCTCAACCCCTCTTCTTCCCCTTCGGGGAGGGGTTTACCCCACCCCCAACCCCCTCCCCCTGGGCCTGGAGAGGGCGCTCCGCGGGTCGTTGGAGGGGTCTTTTTCGACTCCTGGGAGGGCTAAAAAACGACTACCCTCACGAGGATTCTGGCCCCGACGGGGGGGCACCGTTTGGCCCCCCTCCTCTTCTTTAAAGCCAGAATCATTGATTGTACTACGGTTTTGGCCCCATTTTGGCGTCCTGAGGGGGCCGCGCTCATCTTCCTTCATAGCAAAATCATTGATTTTACGAAGGTTTTCGGCTCATTTTGTCCTTCTCAGGGGGCAGCTCTCATTTGCGCTTCTGAGGAGGTCGCAAGAGGCCCCAAGATGGCCCCAAGAGGCCCCCAGGAGGCTCCCAAGAGGCCTCCAAGAGGCCCCCAAGAGGCCCCCAAGAGGCCCCCAAGAGGCCCCCAAGAGGCCCCCAAGAGGCCCCCAGAGGCCCCCAAGAGGCCCCCAAGAGGCCCCCAAGAGGCCCCACGAGGAGCCCGAACGACTCACACCAGGACGAGAACGACTCACGAGGAGCCCGAACGACTCACACCAGGACGAGGCGCCCGAACGACTCACACCACGAGGAGCCCGAACGACTCACACCAGGACGAGGGCCCCGAACGACTCACACCACGAGGAGCCCGAACGACTCACACCAGGAGGAGGAGCCCGAACGACTCACACCAGGACGAAGGGCCCGAACAACTCACATCACGAGAAGACCGAACGACTCACGCCAGGACGAAGAGCCCGAACGACTCAAACCACGACGAAGAGCCCGAACGACTCACACCAGGAAGAAGGGCCCGAACGACTCACACCAGGACGAGAGGCCCGGAGATATGCGGGGGCAGGCGGAAACACGCCTGAAAAACACGACTGTCGGTATGCTTCGCAATAGTTGCTGTTTTGAGATGGGCTGGTGGGGATACGCGAAGCGTAAAGAATAAAGACCCCTCCCCCACTCGACCGACGACCGACCCGAAGGAATGCCGACCCCCAAGCCATCCCTGTCAAAAGCGATTGAACTATAATTTTGCGGCAAAATCTTGGACCATACGCGGGCGACCCGCGATCATGTCTTGTTGTCAGGGACAGCGGGGGGGGGGCAGCACATACCAACAACAAATGCAACGTGATTGCAGGTGCACACGCTATGCACCTTGCTAAGCATCTCGCCGCCACTTTGCATTGTATTTTTTGACAGGGATGGTGGGGGCCGACATGTTTCCACGATATGCTCTGTCACCTGGACTGGCGCACCTGGTACACCCTGCGCGCGCTGCGCACGTGGCGCAGATGGCGCGGCTGGAGCACGTGCCACACTTGGCGCATGTGGAGCACGCTGCGCATCTGGCGCACCGAGCGCGCATAACACGCTTGGGATTCCAGGGCCTTTGCGCACCTGGTGCGCGCGGCGAGCTTGACATCATGGCGCGCCTCGCGAGCGTCGCACGCCTGGCAACTGCGTTGGCTCGCAATGGCTGTCCATCCGATGGCGACCGCTAAATCCGCCGATCCTGCGTGTGAATTTCAATAAGGCTGAGCTTCAGCTCTGTTTGGGGCTTGGCTTCAGCTCTGCTTCGGGGGTGAGTGCCAGTGTGGCTTCGCCGGGGTAGGGGGGCAGTAAGGGGAGGGTCACCAAATTCCTGAAGGGGATGGGGGGGGGCTGAGCTTCAACTCTGCTTGGGAGGGTGAGTGCCGGGGTGGCTTCGCCGGGGTAGGGAGGGGAGGGGGCGGGGTGGTCACCAAATTCCCAGAAGGGGAGGGGAGGGCTGAGCTTCAAGTCTGCTTGGGGTGGGGTGAGTGCCGGGGTGGCTTCGCCTGGGTAGGGGGGGAGGGGGGGGGTCACCAACTTGCCAGGAGGGGAGGGAGAGAGCGCATTTCCTTCGGTTTTGGAGGAGGAGGACTCGGGAGGAGCACCAGAAACATCCCAAACGCGGGAAAACGGCCCAAAATACGAGCGGGGCAGCACGCATCGTCAGCAGGTCTGAGCGACAAGGCGACAACTACGCAGTGCCTGGTCGTTGGGAAACTCCTAATCACAACGAATCGTTGGGAAACTCCCAGCGAAAACGGAAAGGCGCCCGCCGTGAGCGAGAGAGCGCGCCCTAAGCAGTCAGAGACAGGCCGCATGCATACAAGTGGAAACGAAAGATGTGGCCCCGAGTGGTCCTCCTGCTGCTGCTACAGCCAGTCTTGAGGCAGCAGAGACCGTAATGGGGGGGGAAGGGCGCACGGAAGCAGGGAGGGGCGCACGACGAGCGAGGACGAGACGCCGAGGACAAGGATGAAGGGGCCCCGGGACACACATGTTTTCTGGGTTTCTGTCTCCCCCCCACTGCCCATATTTTCATATATTTTCTGGGGAATCGACGATTAATTGTGTCTGTCTGTTTCTCCTCCTGAAAGGAGAGGGGGGAGCGAACGACGAGAGGGACGACGGAGGACACGCGAGCGGGGTTACCTGCGGGGCTGCTTGCGCAGCGGCTCTGCTCTCAACACGCAGTCTCTACGTACCCGGGCGACCGCCGTGCGGGTCACGAACTGGCCACCGCTCGGACGTGGTCTCGTGCGTGGTTTTTCTCGCAGGCTGGTCCAGGATGCTCCTTGATAATCCCCGCCGAGAAATTATCCCGGCAAAGCAATCTAACAGCGATGTGTAGGAGCATATCTGGAAGCATTCCCCTTAAGATTCAGATAAGAATCCTGTTGTAGAATTCTGCTGTTCTCGCAGTCGTGGTCGCATTCGCGATGGCAGTCGCAGTGGCAACAGCAGTCGCAGTCACAGCCTCAGCCTCAGCCTGCCTCAGCCTCAGCCTCAGCCTGCCTCAGCCTCAGCCTGCCTCAGCCTCGCCCTCAGCCTGCTTCAGCCTCAACATCAGTCTGCCTTCAGCCTCGGCCTCAGCCTGCCTCAGCCTCACCCTCAGCCTGCATCAGCCTCAGCCTGCCTCAGCCTCGCCCTCAGCCTGCTTCAGCCTCAACATCAGTCTGCCTTCAGCCTCGGCCTCAGCCTGCCTCAGCCTCACCCTGCATCAGCCTCAGCCTCAGCCTCAGCCTGCCTCAGCATCAGCCTGCCTCAGCCTCAGCCTCAGCCTGCCTCTGCCTCAGCCTCAGCCTGCTTCAGCCTCAGCCTCAGTCTGCCGTCGGCCTCGGCCTCAGCCTCAGCCTGCCTCACCCTCAGCCTGCATCAGCCTCAGCCTCAGCCACAGCCTGCCTCAGCATCAGCCTGCCTCAGCCTCAGCCTCAGCCTCAGCCTGCCTCAGCCTCAGCCTCAGCCTGCTTCAGCCTCAGCCTGAGTTTGCCTGCAGCCTCGGCCTCAGCCTCAGCCTGCCTCAGCCTCAGCCTGCCTCAGCCTCAGCCTCAGCCTCAGCCTGCCTCAGCCTCAGCCTGCCTCAGCCTCAGCCTCAGCCTGCCTCAGCCTCAGCCTCAGCCTGCTTCAGCCTCAGCCTCAGTCTGCCTTCAGCCTCGGCCTCAGCCTCAGCCTGCCTCAGCCTCAGCCTGCATCAGCCTCAGCCTCAGCCTCAGCCTGCCTCAGCATCAGCCTGCCTCAGCCTCAGCCTCAGCCTCAGCCTCAGCCTCAGCCTCAGCCTGCTTCAGCCTCAGCCTCAGCTGCCTTCAGCCTCAGCCTCAGCCTGCCTCAGCCTCAGCCTGCATCAGCCTCAGCCTCAGCCTCAGCCTGCCTCAGCCTCAGCCTCAGCCTCAGCCTCAGCCTCAGCCTCAGTCTGCCTCAGCCTCAGCCTCAGCCTGCATCAGCCTCAGCCTCAGCCTCAGCCTGCCTCAGCATCAGCCTGCCTCAGCCTCAGCCTCAGCCTGCCTCTGCCTCAGCCTCAGCCTGCTTCAGCCTCAGCCTCAGTCTGCCTTCAGCCTCGGCCTCAGCCTCAGCCTGCCTCAGCCTCAGCCTGCATCAGCCTCAGCCTCAGCCTCAGCCTGCCTCAGCATCAGCCTGCCTCAGCCTCAGCCTCAGCCTGCCTCAGCCTCAGCCTCTCAGCCTCAGCCTCAGTCTGCCTTCAGCCTCGGCCTCAGCCTCAGCCTGCCTCAGCCTCAGCCTGCATCAGCCTCAGCCTCAGCCTCAGCCTGCCTCAGCATCAGCCTGCCTCAGCCTCAGCCTCAGCCTGCCTCAGCCTCAGCCTCAGCCTGCTTCAGCCTCAGCCTCAGTCTGCCTTCAGCCTCGTCCTCAGCTTCAGTCTGCCTTCAGCCTCAGCCTGCCTCAGCCTCAGCATCAGCCTGCCTCAGCATTCAAAGTGTGGCCCGGGAATGGAGTTCTGGGAACTCGAAGAACACAAAATGGCCTACAGTTGGCTCCGGGCATTCAAAAATCATGCCCAGGAATGGAGTTCTGGGAACTCGAACACAACGAAGTGGCCTACAGTTGGCTCCGGGCATTCAAAAACATGCCCAAGAATGATGTTCTGGGAACTCGAAGAGCACGAAGTGGCCTACAGTTGGCTCCGGGCATTCAAAATGTGGCCCGGGAATGGAGTTCTGGGAACTCGAACCGAAGTGGCCTACAGTTGGCTCCGGGCATTCAGAATGTGGCCCGGGAATGGAGTTCTGGGAGGTCGAAGAGCACGAAGTGTGTGACTGTATGCGAAAAACGATCCCCCCCGGCAAACCCCAACGGCCCCCCAACGGCCCCCAACGGCTGCCCAGACCCCCCTGTGGAGTAATGTGCTGCTCTCTTTTTACCCTATTAGAAACCTATCAGTCTTCGCTGTTAGGTAAAAAGTGCACACGTCCGAGCGATGCCAAGCGAAAGAAGAGCTGGGCGCGCGTCGCCATCGCGGCGCAGCTCTTCCCGAGAAGGTGCCCCCGGTAGCTGGGAGGCGCTGGGGACTTGCCAGAGGTCGGGATCGAGCGCGCGGGGGGAGCCAGAGGGGCTATGAGGGCCCACGGCGGCGACCTTACCTCAGTAGCGCATGGAGCGAGTGGACAGGGACTTGAAGAGCGCCCGAGGGCGCGCCCTCGGGATGGAAATTCCAAGGCCGCGGCCCTTCCGAAGGCCCGTCTGGGTCCACGGGGAGGGAGCGCTTGCTGCCCTGCCTCATCAAGTCGTTGAAAATGGATTCCGTCGCGTCTCCCAGCCAGCGGACCATGGGCCTCTTGAGCTGCGAGTCCACGCAGGTGAAGCTGCCGAAGGTATCTAATATCATGCGCTGCACGTTCTCCTTGTCCTTCCGGACCGATGCCTCGGCCCTCTCCGTGTTCACCTTGAAGAACGCGGCCTTGACGCGGCTGATCCCCTCATTGCCGTGCGCGAGCTGCCCCATGAAGGTCTGGACCTCCGCCTTGGGCATGATGATCTTCGGCTCGATCGACAGCTTGATGGCCATAGCCTGCTCGAAGATCGCCCAGATGCGAGTAAGGTGCGTGGGCCCGTTCCAGACGTCGAAGAGCGCCAAGACGCGGCCGATGCTCCTCGAGTTGTCCTTGAAGACGCTCGCCAGGTTGTCGCTGTCGGTCTTCGCCTTATCCCTCTTCTTGCTCTGGTCCAGGATCCGATGCTGGTTGTTCACGAAGAAGCGCGCGCACAGGTACACGGTCTCCGCGCTCTCCTCCTCCGCGAGGCTGTCGCGCTCTAACTCCGCAGCGCGTCCTGGACCACGCTCAGGCGGTAGGCCCACGTCCGAGACAAGAAATGCGTGCGCTTGCCCCAGTACCTCGCGGGCAAGACCGGGGAGTCCACGAATGCGCAGCCGTCGTAGCCGCCCCGCGGGCACCGCTCCCGCCCCCCCGATCGGGTCCGCGCCCGGGGAGAACACGTCCCGCAGCTGGTAGAACGCCGGGTCGTCCTCGCCGCTGCGCTGGCGGGCCGGGTCGGTGACCTCCTCCGAGAGCAGGTGCGCGACAGAGATGCCCCACTGCTCGCGTTCGAGCCTCAGGTGCTCCTCGATCTCCGAGGGTGACAGCCAGCTCGCGATCATGCTCCGACCCTTGCTTGCAGCACCTCTTGCACACATCCCCCCAGCGCTCGTGCGCGAGGGCTCCTTCGAGCAGCTGCCTCGCGGCCTTCCTGGCCCCTGCAGCGGCGGCGGCGGAGCGGCACCACTCGTAGACGCACTTCTGCTGCGCCCAGGATGGCTTTGGGAAAACCATCCTTGTGCCGCCCTCAGGCGCGCCGACCACCAACACGCTCCCGTTCCTGTCTCGCGGGGCCTGGAGGACCATCATATCCTGGCCCAGCTGGCCGTTTCGGTCGAACCTCACACCTCTCGGATTGTAGAACTCGGTCAGGGACGACAGATTCCGCATAGCGCTGGCCACCAGGTCTGACTCGAGGGAGTCGGCCTGCTCGATGGCTTCAGAGAGGGCGCAGAGCGCGCATAACTGCGCGGCGGCGAAGTAGGACGGCCCCAGATTCCACTGGTCATGGAACAAGGTGTGAAACTCCTGGGGCGTCAAGTTGCTGAAATTGCCGCGGATATCCGAGCCGCTTTTCCAATGCCACGCGATGGGCTCGAGCCACTGCGCGCCTTGCCACCGGCCCCTCCTGAGCTCTGCGAGGCAGCGCGGCGAGGAGACCAGCGCGAAGCCCATCAGGGCGCGCGCCTCGTAGTCGAGCTCGGGCTCCGACATGAGCAGGGTCGCCTCCACGAGGGTCTCCAGGCTGAGCTTGCAGATGAAGAGAACAGTGACCGCCCGGTCCTTCAGCCGCCGCAGGGCGAGGCCGAGCTTTGCGCGCGAGGCCTCGTCCGTGACCCGCTCCCAGCGCGAGGCCGCGCCGAAGAGCTCCCCCGCGTCGCGCGCGGCCCCCGGGTCGCAGCCCTGCCCCAGCATGCCGAGCCGCAGCTGCGAGACGCACCTGGTGGCCCCGCAGAGGTCGGCGGCGGCCCGCAGGATGGCCCCGAGGCCGAAGACCTCCCAGGAGGGGGGCGCGAAGCCGAATGGCCGCGGCAGGTTCTGCTCGTAGACGTAGGCGTAGCTGGGCCCTGCGCTGAGCACGAGCCCCCCGTCGGCGTCGGCCTGCCGGGCCGCGCCCTGCGTGAGGCCCGAGCTACGCGGCCCCAGGGCGAAGCGCGCGCCCCCCCCCCCCCCGGCGCGCAGGGCGCGGGCCGTCGCGTTCGTGACCTGCGCCCTCGAGCCGCGGTCGCCCACGAAGACCGCCTTCATGGCCAGGCGCGCCCCCTGCGCCTGGAGCCCGCCCCGCTCGGCGCTGAGCCTGCGCGCGAAGGTCTGCGCGGCCTCCACATCTCCAGGGAGATCTCCGCGGGGACGCGGATGCTGCTGTGCGGCACGCTGAGGGTGGACGGCCCGCCCACGACGACCTCGCCGTCGAACGCGTCCGCCTCCGCGCCGTACAAGGAGTGCTCCGTGCCCGCCGGCAGCTCGCGCGCCTCGCTGCTCTCCAGCACCTCCACCGCGTCCGGGCCCCCCTCCACCTCCCCAGGCCGCGCGATGACTTTGGCGCAGGTGTCGTTGCAGAGCGACGCCGCGGCGGGCAGGGGCGCCAGCGCCAACGCCAGCTGGGCTCGACCAGGGGCGCGCGCTCCAGCGGCCACTGGGCATCGGGCTCGCGCGGGGGCGGCGAGCCCCAGGTCATGCGACCTAGCGGCTGGGCCGCCCCGCGGATGGCAGCCCCGCGCCCCGAGCCAAAATGGTCACGGAGGACGTCGGAGCCAGCAGATGCTTCGCAGGGGTTGCGCGAGCAAGTAAAGGAGATGGATGAGGATACGGAGGATATTCCAGTGCCGGCCAACTTCGCGCCCATATCGCCGACAATGCGCATGCCTGCACAGAGACAAGAGAACCCGTACTTGCGGCACCCTGGTGCTGGCACGGCTGCGTCCGGCACCCTCCTCCCTCCTCCCTCCTCCCTCCTCCTTCCTCTTCCTCCTCCTCCTGCTCCTCCCCCCCCCTCCTCCTCTTCGTCCTCGGCGCCGAGTGCAGCTCCACAGGGGCCATTTGCCCAGCCAGAGCCACCCGAGCCAGTAGATGCGCCGTCGCAGGACACCTGCGGAGAGCCCGCCACGCAAGGGGGCCAGGCGCGCCCGAGTCCGAGCAAGCTTGCAACCGGTGTGCCAACGCCTGGGCGGAGGCGTGCGCACTGGGGAGTGAGTGAATTCAATGCCTTCTGTGTTGGGGACGTGCCCATAACACATCCTGCTGCTCCTTCTTGCATTCCGCCTAGATCCTCACTCAAGGGCTCTCGGGTGGGCAAGGAGACAAGGTGTGCCTCTGACGACTATTCTTGTTTCCAGCGATGCATGGGATGCGAAACGTGGGATTGCACGGGCAATACTTATTGTTGCCCGTGCGGCAGGCCGGGCGCGCACCGGAGCAGTCAGAAGGCGGCGCGCGCAGCACGGCTGGACAGCCCAGCTAGGCGCGCCTGCAGGGGAGGACTTGGTCGGCACAAGGCTAGCACTTGCCCGCAATTCGCTTCGTCGCCAGACGTCGGCGGCATCCGAGTCAGGCATGGGCCCACTATCTGTCGGTATTGCGACAAGGATCCGCGTAATGCAAGGCGCAGCACAATGGTACAATGGATTTCCCGAATTTCGGGGCTGCAGGCTATGGGCAATCTGCGTGGCGACAGTGTTGGGCCATCCAGACACCCATATCCAGCAGCACCTCCTGCGGGGCGGGGCCCTTCACGATCTCTTTGGCGCGCTAAGCCCAGCTGGCCAGGGCGTGCTCCACGTCGCCAAGATTGGCCCTCCCATGCTTCTAGTTATCCGAATGTAGGAACAAGTGCCCGAAGAAGACTGAACGCCCGAAGGAAGGGCAATATCCTCGTCGATACATATCAAAGAAATATTCTTTCATCGAGACGCCGACGCTCTGCCTGCAGACTGGTCGCTGGTTCCCCTCTGCCCACTTGGAAAAAAAAAGCCGAACCTCACGACGGTGAATGTTTTTCGCCTTCTCGCCCGCCGTGCCCCCCTGAAGAAACCGATCAGGCGGCGCGGACGCCCGCGCCACCACCTCCTGGCGCCTCCGAGCCTTCTGCCGCTGCGGCCCAGGCTGGCGGGTAGCGCCCGAACTTTAGGCGGCGCATCCTGATGTAGGTTTCAGCACGGCCGAGCCCCTGCGAATCGTCACCCCTCGCAAATTCTCGCGGGAGGGAGACGGCGCCATCGCGTCCGACAAGACGCGCAAGTGCTTCATCACACTGATCAAACAACGGATCCTGTGGTCCCTGAGCGGGCTGCGGTGACATGAGATGTAAAAGCGAAGCCCACCTTGAACACAGCGCCAACGGCTACTCACCTCCAACTTTGGTATTACACTGTGCCCGCCAGACCCCATCAACTCCCAAGACTCGCTGCTGACCTTCACAAACCCGATGCACACGTCCCCCAGAACACCTGGCCTCCAGGCCCCGCAGGGCCGACGCGTTGGCAATGACTGTGGTGGGCTTCCTGTGCAGGACATCATACTGGATGAAACCTCGAACACCTGCGGGGGCCCCGTGAGGTCCACGATGGGCACGGACTCCCACGAGCCAGACGACGTCGGGTTCTCCAGGCCCCACAGGGCCCCACATGTCGATGCCGACGTACAGACCTCGGGAGTAAAGAGGGCCAACTCCACGGCGACTACTTCCTCGGCGTAGGCCTTCCCCAGATTTCTGACACCCCCTCTCGGAATGAACCTGGCCGCGCGCGGGGCCCCCGCGTGGACGTGCCAGACGAAGCCAGACGAGACCCAGGACGTGACGAAAGCCTGACTGCTTTTTCTGGCGAGGTCGTACCTCGCGCCGCGTAACAGCTCAACTGGGGGCCCGACTCGCAGGCCGCGAGAACGGAGGGCCCAAGCGAGGCCTGCCTCGCCGGCAAACAGCTCGAGGGCAAAAGTCCCCTCGGCTGGAAAGGCCGCTCGCAGAGGACGGTCCCCTCCACGCAGCAGAAAATGAAGTGAATCTGGAGGGTCAGCAGGAGGGGTACTCTGGAAGTGTTCAGGCCGTTGGTCCTCATGCGTTGTGATACCCGCTGACCCCCCAGTCGGATGCAGCCCAGATCCCGCGTCGGCAGCGTTCCGCTTGCTCTCATCGCGCCTCGAATGCCAGCGGACGCGGGCGGCGATCTGGTAGCTAGCCGCCCGGCAAGCCAGCGCGCTGAGGCCCCGCGACTTTGTGCGGCCCTTCTCACAGGCGCAGATGGACACCAGATTGTCGCCGATGGAGGCCGCGCGCATGCCGTGGTTCGAGCGGGCGCGGGCGGCCCTGCGCAAGCCGAAGAGCGAGACGCGCCCTTCCTTGATGTTGATACGCTCGCGCTGCCATCGCCGCCGACCCGCTCGAAGGTGTCTCCGCCGATCTGCGCCGCCCCAACACTTGTCGATAGGTGGGGCCGCGCTGGGAACCTCCACCTCCTCATAGCGAGGCCGTGATAAGGGAAGGCGAGACCTGCGTCCAGTTCGGTGCTGCTCAGCCTCGCGACGGACTCGCTCCACGCCCAGCCACTTGTCACACTGCGTCTGCGGGCCCACGGCGCAGGGTCGGGGCCCTGGCGCAGACGCATCAGCATGGGCGCCATCTGGACATAGAAAATCAAAGCCAGGGCGAAGTCGGCCACCAGCGAATTCGACCCGCTCGGGCCGCAGCAAAGCGACGTCGGACAGCGACTCGACGGGCTTGAAGCGCCACCTCTCGCGGCACCTGGCGAGCTCACGAAGCTCCTGCAGCGACGCCCGCGTGGAGAGCGGCGCGCGGCCGACGTCCGACGAGTCCGAGCAGTAGACCTCCTGGCTGAAGTCGGCCCCCAGGTCGTACCCGCAGAGGAAGAGCAGGCCCTGCACCAACCGCATCTCGTTCTTGATGGCGCCGGCGAGGCGGACCTGCTTCCCGCGGGCAGAGGCCGCGAAAGGGTGGATCGCCTGAAGACACGATAGTTCGGGCCGTAGCAAGCCCAGCGAGTTGACCACATGCCCCATCCACATCTCCAGCGCGCCGCCATGGATGCACCTCCGACGTCGAAGCCCCCTGCGCGGCAAAATGCGCGCGCCAAACCCGACGAGGACCGCGTCGGAGGCAGCGCCGCCTGCCATCGAAGACTACCCGGGGCTCTCGAAGATGATGCCGACCTCCCCGTCGATGTGGATGCCGGTGTCATAATCGTCGGCCGCGTGCCTGAGGCGGGCCACGGAGTCCTCGGCGGTGGGTCTGTCACCAGCCATCGTGGTGAAGTCGTCCACGTAGACGCCTGACACCGCCTGGCCGACCCGCAACGGCGGCGCGGGCGTCCGCTCTCGAACGGGAGACTGAGGGCAGACGGCGCTTTGGCCGGCCAGATGCGGGACCGCCTCGTTGGCCACATGTAAGACCCACGACCGCCCCGTAGCCATGCCGTGGAACGTGGGATAGACCACCTCCGAGCTGTCGATGCTGACGCGCCTCCCGAGCTCGTCGTCGTAGACCGACTGCGCTCCCCACTCGCCGGCGGGCCGCGGCAGGTCGATCCCGAGCCAGGAACGCAGCTCCTCCACGAGCATCTGATAGAAGCAGTCGTCGACGTCACTGGTACCGCCCCAGAGCTCTGCGACGGCCCCGAAGCCGCCCAAGTCGCGCAGCGCGGAGTCTGAGAGGTCAAGCTCGCAGAAGCCGCCCACGGAGCCCAAGCGCGTCTTTGGGGGCGAGCGGTGGCAGCGGTTGGCCTGCCTGGCGTCGATGATGAAGCGCTTCAAGTTGGGGGCCTTCTTCCTGCCGAAGAAGATGCCGACATTGGCCTTGATCTTAGGCCGGAAGCAGATGAGGTTGGAAGCCCGCAGCCGGTGAACCAAACAAGTGGTCTCCTGCGGGCTGGTGACCAACCTGGGATCCCAATGCGGCCGCGGAAAGCCACGAGCGGCCTGGAGTTTCAAAATCTGCTCCGCATCTCGCTCGACGCAGCGCTTGTAGTGCTTGATGGGGCCACCCACCGCTGGAGGCAACAACGCCGCGTCAAGCCCTTCGCCTTGGTGCCGGAGCGGCAGATCTTGAGCTTGTTGGCGTCGTACTCGGCGATGCTCTTCGGCCCCTGCGTGCGCGGGCCCCTGGACGCCGCGAGCCCCGCGAGGGCCCCGTCATCACCCAGGTCTCGAGGGGATGGGGGGGGGGCGTGCGCCTTGGCGTGGCGGGCGACGTGGTCCAGCGCGTCACGCTGCAAGGGCGTCGCCTCCAGACCTCCAAATCTCCTGGTACCTGACATCCCCACACCTGAGACGATCGTGGAAGAAGTAGTAGCGGCGGCGAGCTGGTGAAGAGACCCAACCGCTTCACCTTCTCGCCGTTGCCGATGAGTCTGCGCAAGTCGGCGCTGATGGACGTGCCGAGGAGCGCCTGGGATCAGAGCAGCAGGAAGAAGCGTCGCCGGCAGCGGGGAGATCTCCCCGCGGCGCCGCTCAGCGCGGAGGCGACGCCGAACGGTAGCGACTCCGTTGTCGAAACTGTCAGCTGGGGCCACAATAGCTGACGACCGCTCCAGCCAAAGGGGGGCCGACAACCAGGGTCAACTCCCGCCTGCTGTCGCCACCACCCTGACCCTTCCCACCACCTTTGTGACGTTTATCTTCGTAGAGCCGTTCTTCTCGAAGTAGCCTGGCCTGCTTGAGAGTTTGCGCCCGCTCCCCCTGCTTCTGGTAGATCCAATCCATGAAGTTCTCGCTGGCAGCGGCGCCGTTCTCGGTGGTCGGGCCGCTCATGACCAGGTACAGCCCGCCGTAGTCGGGATGCTTCG